CTAATTAACACCATAAATGAGCGTCTTAAGCGGGAAATCTTATTAAACGGGATCATATTAACCGGGTTCTACTGTATATTGAAATTAAAAATTTGACCTTGAATTTCATCACCAGCTTATAGCCCGTGAAAACCCCTTTAAAAATCACTATTCATACTTTAAATTTGATTAATTTTACTTATCAATATATTAAATCGAAAAAAGATATTTTCAAAAAAATCAAAATTTTGAAACTCCATAACTCAAAAAATATTTTATCAAATTCAAAAAAATTAATATTTACACTTCTACTAATAATAGTAACATTTTAGCAAAGTTTAGAGAAAATTCATTTTTTTACCTGGGCAGTTGAGGAATTTTGCCGTAATTTGCCGTAATTTGTGGTTACGTTTTATTTTTTTATTCCGAATCCCTTTGGGATCCCAAGATGAAACTTACAAGACATGTAAAGCACATTTGCCCTAACATTTGGTAAAATTTTTAAAAACATCATCTTCGATTTTTTTAAAAATTTTACCAAATGTTAGGGCAAATGTGCTTTACATGTCTTGTAAGTTTTATCTTGGGATCCCAAAGGGATTCGGAATAAAAAAATAAAACGTAACCACAAATTACGGCAAATTACGGCAAAATTCCTCAACTGCCCAGGTAAAAAAATGAATTTTCTCTAAACTTTGCTAAAATGTTACTATTATTAGTAGAAGTGTAAATATTAATTTTTTTGAATTTGATAAAATATTTTTTGAGTTATGGAGTTTCAAAATTTTGATTTTTTTGAAAATATCTTTTTTTCGATTTAATATATTGATAAGTAAAATTAATCAAATTTAAAGTATGAATAGTGATTTTTAAAGGGGTTTTCACGGGCTATAAGCTGGTGATGAAAAAAAGTTGTTTTCTGTCAATTTGACCTTGAAATTCAAGGTCAAATTCTTAATTTCAATATACAGTAGAACCCGGTTAATATGATCCCGTTTAATAAGATTTCCCGCTTAAGACGCTCATTTATGGTGGTCCCTGCAATTAAAGACATACATTTTATATCCCACCTAATACGTTTTCCCGCATAAGACGCATTCTTAGTGCGGTCCCTACAGAATCGTATTAACCAAGTTCTACTGTATCTCAAAATCGGTGTTTTTTATTTTTTTGTAACCTATCCCAATCGAAAGTTTACCTTTTTTCATATGAGCCATGTAAAAATCAGAGTGGGACCATGGAACGTTTTGAAGAAATTAATTATAAATCATCATTTTCTATGTAAAATAATTATAAATCATCATTTTCTATGTAAAATAATGATAAATTATTATTTTCCTAAAAAATTCTCATGGTCCCACTCTGATTTTTACATGACTCATAGAAAAAAGATCACCAGCTTATAGCCCGTGAAAACCCCTTTAAAAATCACTATTCATACTTTAAATTTGATTAATTTTACTTATCAATATATTAAATCGAAAAAAAGATATTTTCAAAAAAATCAAAATTTTGAAACTCCATAACTCAAAAAATATTTTATCAAATTCAAAAAAATTAATATTTACACTTCTACTAATAATAGTAACATTTTAGCAAAGTTTAGAGAAAATAAATAATTAAATAATTAAATAATATAATAATAATTAAATAATTAAATTAAATAATAATTCATTTTTTTACCTGGGCAGTTGAGGAATTTTGCCGTAATTTGCCGTAATTTGTGGTTACGTTTTATTTTTTTATTCCGAATCCCTTTGGGATCCCAAGATGAAACTTACAAGACATGTAAAGCACATTTGCCCTAACATTTGGTAAAATTTTTAAAAAAATCGAAGATGATGTTTTTTCAAAAACGGATTTTTAATTTTTCAATATTTCAAAAAAAAAAATTTTTTTGAATTTTTTTTTATATTAATTTTAACTTAAAATATACTTAAAACCAAATAAATCCTTTTTTTAAAATCCAAAATCGGTTAATTAGAACCAAAGTTATAGCACTTTAAAAAAAAAATACAAAAATTTTGAAAATGCCATATTTTTGGTAATTTTCAAAATTTTGAAAAAATATTTGGTGGAGTTGTTTATCACTATAAGAGTAATAAATTTACAAAAGTACAGCCAAATCCCAACAAGTCGTAAAAATAAGTGTGTTGAACTGACGTGGAATCCACCTATTCTTACATTTAAGTATTAAGGCAGATTCTGAAATCTCCTTCAGAAAAGAAATGAGACGATACTCGTTATAATTGACCAAAATATTTTCACAAGTCAAAGAAGGACATCTTCAGATGTTTAAGTCTTTAAAGGTTTAATAATTTTCAAGAACATCTTTCAATATTTATTAAGTTGTGACTGTTTAAAAAAATAGGGTAACTCAGAGAGAGAGAGAGAGAGAGAGAGAGAGAGAGAGAGAGAGAGAGAGAGAGAGAGAGAGAGAGAGAGAGAGAGAGAGAGAGAGAGAGAGAGAGAGAGAGAGAGAGAGAGAGAGAGAGAGAGAGAGAGAGAGAGAGAGAGAGAGAGAGAGAATTAGAACACTTGCTATATCAGGGTGTCTACTATTTTTCAGTTTTTGAATTTCCGGTTATTTCCCGGTTTTTCCCGGTTTGAGATATTAACGTTTTTTTCACTACATAAGTATATGCTGAAGCATATAACACCTTAAATATTAATGTATAAGTGATAATTTAATATTAATCATAATAAAAAAGTATAAAACAAAAATTTAAAGAACCTAAAAATTTGTTTTTATTTGTAAAATAACACCGTTCCATTGTCAATAAATAATTACATTTGAAAAGTATACAGAATTTTACGTAAAATTTATTTTTAAATTATTTAATACCGTACAGAATTTAACAATTGAACGTCATTCTAAGTAAATCTTTTAAACATTTTACTAACACTTTATAAATAAAACAGAAATTAATTTTTTAATTTCAAACACAAGAAAAATTATTTCCTCTAATACTCAATGTTGAGGTAAAATTCTCCGAACAAAAGATTTATTCTTCCCGTAAATTTTTTAATGACCTGATATATCGACCAATGATAGTTGTTTCCTCACATAGTACACGATTTCATAAAAATTTTATTTAGAAATTTCGTTTCCCGGCTATTTCCCGGTTTTCCCGGTTAGTAGACACCCTGTATATATCTCGAAAAGTTGACTCACATGGACAATTTTATCTCTCCCGGAATTGTCATTTTTTAAAAATTTTTTTTAAATTAAGAAAAATGGAAAAAACTAAAAAGACTTATATGCTTAGGTAAAAAGGTTCATATTAAAGAGATTTATAATAATTTGATGTTTTTATCATTTCTATAAAGATTTGAATGTTCAAATGAGCGAAATACATTTTTTTGTTATTAATAAACCGAATTGAAAAATATTACAGTTAAATTATTTATTCAGTAAACATTATTTTTTTAATTATAAAAAATAATATTTTTTAATTATAAGTTCCAGGGTGTCTACTATTTTCGTTTAACAAAATTCCCGGTTATTTCCCGGTTTTTCCCGGCTATATCCTAATTTTTTCCCGGTTTTTTTTCTTATCAAATTTAAATTTAAATTTGATTTCAAACATAAATAAATCATTAAATTTTTTGAAAATAATGTTTTTTTCAGTAATTTTAATTAAAAACTTGGAAAATACTTGAATTAAACAAAGAATTTTTTCAAGCTTTTAAAAATAATCTTGTCTCTTTATAATTATAATTGAAAATTGGATTTTTCAATTTTATTAAAATTACATTGATAATAATTGAACTTCTGCAAAGAATTTTACTATTTATAAAAATAATTGAATCCTTCCAAAGAATGCTATTATTTATGAAAATAATTTAATTCTTGTGAAGAATTTTATTAAAATTTTTGAAAATAATAAGCAGCAATAATTAATTCTTTACTTAATATGTAATAAACATTTAATTTGCTCAAGAAATAAATAAATATCATTTATTTGAACATTCAGAAATTTGAAATGATAAAAATTTAAGAGAAGATTAATAATTATAATTATTAAATAATAATAGAATAGTATAATTTTTAGAAGCAAAAAATTGATTTAAAACTGTAAGAGGGACTTTAAATTTCAAAAATAAAATTATAATTATGGTCACTAACTTCCCTTGATTATTTTCGAAAAATTTAAATAAAATTCTTTAAAAGAATTCAATTATTTTTCAAAAAAAGTAAAAAAATTTCAATGATTTGTTTAGAAAAATTCAATTATCTTGAAACAATAGAATTGAAAAATTACAACAATTTTATTTTTTAGACTTAAAAAAAATTTTGCGAAAGTTTAATTTTATTAAACAATTTTAAGTATGTATATTTTTTTAAAATAACTAATAAAAATTTTAATTATTAATCTTCGGAGTAAGAAACATGAATACATTAGAATTTTACTCTTTATAATATTCAATTATTAATCAATTATTAAATTAAAATACTTTGAAAATTCTATTTGTTAAAAAGTTTCTAATGAATTTCTTTAACAAATTTAATTACATATTTTCAGTCGAATTTCACAATATTTCTATTAACTCCATAATTTTTTTTAAATTTATTTACATAATATATTTGAATTGGTAACTGATTTTTTATCATCAAATTAATTATTTTTAACTAACTTAAATTTAGAGAACAGTATAAATATCTATAAAAATTGAAATAAAAATTGATTTTTTAAAAACAAATTAAAATAATAAAACTTTTTTAATTTTTGTGAAAAAATTCCCGGTTCGGTATAAAATTCCCGGCTAATTCCCGGTTTTTCCCGGTCAAATAAAATTCCCGGTTATTTCCCGGTTTTCCCGGAATTCCCGGTTAGTAGACACCCTGTAAGTTCCCATTAAAAAAATAGTAAAAACGTTTGAAATTGTAAGGACATGTTTTTATCAATTTTCGTAAAAATGGCAGTGGATTAAAAAAAGGTGTTCCAACTCTCCGGACTTACCCTATAATTGTTTGAAAAAATATATAAAGAGACTAAAGTTAGAAAATTTGGACTCACCATGTTGATGAGGAGCAGAAAAGGCAGAGTGCCTTCTGGGAGACATGTTGGAACGATTTCCTTGGCTCCCCGGAGGCTGCATAGATGAAAGCGCTCCTAGAGGTGTGTACGACTTGCAAGGCTGTTCAGGCTTCTGCTATAAAGTGACAAAATAATTGACACTTGAAATACAAGATCGAGATAAATTTTCAATGATATTTGCAAGCTTTCGACTCAAATAGTACATACAGTGAAACCTCCGAACTTCATACTTAGAACTGTCACAAAAATTTTATTTTATTTTCCAAAGACTTATTTTTTCTGATCAAAAAGTGTCATAAAATGTTCGTAATAGTTGCAAATAGTGGCAAATTATTTATTTACAAAAAATGAGTATTCTCACAATAACATTTTTTTTAATTAAAAAAGTTTTTGAGAGATAAAATGATGGTTTAATTTCTCCACTAGAGAAAGCCAACATAGGTACGAAGTGGCGAGGAATCTGATTTTATTAACTAAACTTTTATTAACTATTAACTAAACATCTAGTGGTGACCTTGGCGTTCCCAAGTGGAGAACTCTCCATATTGAAACTCAACATGTTCATAATTCTATAATTATTTATAATCAGACATTTAATATAGAGAGTTTAACAGTTGGATTTAAATTTTCAATTTGCGATACTTTTATGGACTCCAATTTTTTCAGTCTTGGAATTGATTTCTTTACTAAATAAATTGATATTTAAAATCTCAATTTTAGAAATAGGTAATACAATTAGTGGCTTTTCTAATGAAATAAAAGTTACATTAGTTCCTTATTTATAAAAATTATTAAAATAAATAATTATAAATATTATGAATTGATTAGTAGTTAAGAATATAAAATTATATTAAATTAAATATGTAAAAATTAATTTATTATTTTTCATTTAAAAAAGATTTGTAAGAAAAATGCTCGATTAAGAAAATATTAGGAAACAAGGTTACCACTGTCATGTAAATAAGAGTGATCAATTTTCGAAAGAATTATATCTATATGTAAGCATTTTAATGAATTTCCTGTAAGTATTTTATTATTTACTTGGTCATGAAGTTCCGTCGCCACTGCTGTAGCTGCTGTTTGTGTGTGACTCGTCGAGCTTATTCGATATTGCATCCCAGCGATACTGCAAAAGCCTTCGTGATGAGTGGATCGAGTTTGATTCACGTAAACACCTACGGAAAACATGTTAGCTTTTATATTGCATGTGCACCGCAAAATTTTCCCTCTATAATTTCATCAAACACTTGTTTGTCTAATGAATTTATTAATCTCGTCAAATTTTAAATATCGCTCTTATAAATATATGCATATGTATAAATTTAATTTCACTGTCGATTAGATCTTAAAATTTTATTAAATATTGAAGAGACGAGCTAAATATTTTGTTTACTTTTAGCTACAGAAATGACAATATTTCTGTTTTCATTCACCGAAAAAAATGCCTAGGACCCGTGTACCAGGAATTGACTAGGTTTCCTAGTTACGAGAGGAGCCAACTATAGAATCCTAGTCAAAGTAATAAAATTCAAGCATAGTTAAAGTGACCAGGAAAATTAGCAATCAGGAAAAAATAGTCGAATTGACTAGGATAATAATATTAGATCATAATTATCATAATTATTTGAAATTCTTAATCAAATTCTTATTATCCAATAAAAGAGAAAAAGTAAATATAATTAAAAAAAAATTAATTATTTTATTAAACATATTTATATTTTACTTTGCATTTATATACCTTGGAATTAATTTAAACTTATGAAATAAATATTTGACGCAGGGGGGACGCGAACACCTGAACCTAACGAATACGCACTTTGAAACCCGGAACGATAACCACTACACTAAACACGACTTGGTATTTTAATTTTTTAATAGACACTAGATTTTCGAGTCAAAATACAATACTTAATCAGATGATGTTTTATACATTTCGAGTACACAATTTTATACACTTGTCAAAAACTATTTATTTTTAATTATTTATGACATTCAAATGAAAATAAATTTAAATACACAAATTATTGCAAAGGTAAATTTTCAAACACACTGCGCGATTAAAATAGTAAAAATGTTGTCACCACGTGCGTAAAAATTTCGACGATTTATATTGAAACCTAACTAAAGAAGTCTGAAAGAATTGACTAATATAATTAAATAGTTTACTTTCTAAAACATGGACTATCTATATTTCCAGAGGTTTCGAGAAACCAGCAATTTTGATGTATGTAAGAACTCTATTTTATGTACAAAGAATAGACGCGAGTAATGATAAAAAATCGTTTTACGAAATCACGATAAATGACGCGAAAGATATAGAGGTAAACACTGTCAGAACAGAAGCAGACGCGTGCGCAATATGGAAATAGGCAAAATTACTAAAATCCTAGTCAATTTGACTAGGATTTGCAGGGTTGTTTTTGCCAGGCTTGAATTTGTTGAATCAACCTAGCGATCCTAACCATAATGATTAGGAATCCTTATTACTTTTACTAGGTTAAGATTAAGGTATTAGTCGCGTAAAATGGTTTTTGTCAGATTTTTTTCAAATTTGGCATACTTATTCCTGAAGTATTTATCTACAGAATGAGACCAATTTCATTAATTTTGACCGTTTCAAAGCTTCAAAAAATGAATTCAAAGTTCATACACTTTGCATGGAGGGAGCACCCAATGCATGTATTAATTTTCTTTAATAATTATTTATATGATAACTAATCGTCAGATTTTGAAATAAAACTACGAAAGTATTCAATTAGATGAAAAAAATGAATAGAAAAAACATGACATTTTTTAACCGCACCAAACTATAAATATATTGACAGAAAGTTAAAAAATAACTAAATTATACCAATTTTCATACGAACGAATAGAGTAGGGAGTTAAACTGTCTCTCTCACTCTCACTGCCCTCTCTAGTAAGCGGCCCGGTAAACTTTTGGCCAGAGCCAGCAGCGCGACTACTACCTTAACTATAGGGTCATAGTTAATAATACCATCGAGATTTTTTTCGGTGTTTAAATTGATTCTGTTTTTTCTGTCCTTTTATCGAGTTCATATAACGTTTATACGTTCATAAGTTTTTTCGTTCATATAACGTTAACTATAACTAAAGTAAAGATATTTTGCATGCCAAAAGCAACATAATATTATGTTTATAAATTATTCTTTTTTAATTGTTGTTTATAAAATTTTTATTATTTTGATATAACAACCTAACGTTTGGTTGTGGCAGTCATAGAATAGTTGTGTCAACCAAATGTATGGATATATGTAGTAACCATATAATTTTGAAGAAACGTATTTATTCATATCTATGGTTGTCCCAACCATTCCTTTTTTCTCAGTGTATCTAAAACATTTTTTTACGAAAATGTATAAACATTTAAATAGAAAAATATGTTCTCTCCTAAATTGTTGATTAATACGTTGTGAAACTAACTGTAAAGAATGAATATATTTTTACTACCAATTAATTCAGTTAATTGGTCAAATGTCCGCTCAAATGTCCAATTTTTTATCTTGATTTCAACGAAATATTTAAAACATTTAAAGATTAGCTAATTTTCCGTCAATGGGTTTTCAATGTTTTTCATGTATGCTATTAGTGGATAAAATATTTGGTCTATCAAATCATGAACAATAGAACTTCCAATTTCAGGATGGCTACCTCAAAATATCGAAAAATTATTTAATTTGAATAAATCGAATGTTGTAGTAATAATCGAAAAGCCACTAAATCTTATTCAAAATATAAATGGAAAATCTTAAGTCTGATTTTAAAAATTCAAAATAAATGTTGAATTTCTTCTCTTAGAAGTAAATGTACACAAGTGTAAATCACCGATTTGGATGAAACTTGGCATACTTGTAGAACTTGAAAAAATAATTAATACGTAAGAAGTTTCAGGCAAATTGAATCTATTTTTAAAAAAGTTGTCCGCCGCATTGGATCGGACATTTTTAATTTTGAAAATCTGACATCATATTCGCAGCGACTCGAGTAACAAATTCTAATCGAATTCAATCATTTTTTTTAAAAATAGTTGTATTTACGAACAGTGTAAGTCAATATTTATGATTGATCTCTGTTAAAAAAAACCAATTTTGACGGCCACTTTAGTTTGCTGTTGGCAATATAGCTATATCTTCGTATAAAGCATAAAGTTCAATCTTTAATTTGACTCCTATGACAAGTCGGATTTACCCGGTAGAAATTTTCAAAAACTGACAATAATCTCTAATTTTGGGGATTTTTAACTCCACTTTTCTCAAAATCCTGAAGTGATGGGAGGTTTTCGTTGCCAGATTCGGATTCAGCGCACCAAATACTGAGGTAAATGACTTCTCGATCTCAAACAACGGAATTCTTTTTGCAGGCTTGTGTTAGCTTTGATGGTGCGGTGTCTTTATTTAAAAATTTATTATTTTATTTTAAAAAATTGAAATTTGTATAACAGGTGCAATCCCAGAACATGCAATAAAAATTTAAAATGTCACAGATTAAAATGCTTCCCGAGATACTCTGACAGTATAACACAATGAAAATAGTGGACAAACCTTTATAAGCATTATGGATTTCAAAAAAGTATCTTTAGTATCTTCAGCTGCAGGCTAGAGAGGTGTGTGAAGTTGGCTCCTCCAGTTTAATATTTTTAAGTTTTCTATATTGCTTTCGATTGTCAACGATTAGTCCAGGTTTGTCCAACAAAAAAATTTTTTTGTCCAACTTTCAATTTTTTTTTAAATTAAAAAAAAAATTATTTTTTTTTAAATTAAAAAAAAAATTATTTTTTTTTAAAATGAAAAAAATGACAAAAAACGTTTACATTAGTAAACAAACCGATTTAAGGATTCGACAAATGAATTCAGTTGTTGGACAAAGAAAAACAATTAATAAACAATCAATAGAACCATTTACTTGAAAAAAAATTATGGTTTTCTCTTACTTCACAACTTTTAACATTTCAATCGAGATTTTCTCATTTAAATTTGTGGACAAACCGATTTAAGGGTTGGACAAACGAATTCAGTTGTTGGACAAACGAAAACAATTAATTATCAATCAGAAGAATCATTTACTTAAAAAAATTTATGGTTTTCTCTTGCTTCACAACTTTTAACAATTCAATCGAGTTTTTCTCATTTAAATTGGTGGACAAACCGATTTGAGGGTTGGACAAACGAAAACAATTAATAAACAATCAGTAGAATCATTTACTTGAAAAAAAATTATGGTTTTTCTCTTACTTCACAACTTTTAACATTTCAATCGAGATTTTCTCATTTAAATTTGTGGACAAACCGATTTGAGGGTTGGACAAACGAATTCAGTTGTTGGACAAACGAAAACAATTAATTATCAATCAGAAGAATCATTTACTTGAAAAAATTTATGGTTTTTTCTTACTTCACAACTTTTAACATTTCAATCGAGATTTTCTCATTTAAATTGGTGGACAAACCGATTTGAGGGTTGGACAAACGAATTTAGTTGTTGGACAAACGAAAACAATTAATAATCAATCAGTAGAATCATTTACTTAAAAAAAAATTATGGTTCTCTCTTACTTCACAACTTTTAACATTTCAATCGAGTTTTTCTCATTTAAATTCGTGGACAAACCAATTTGAGGGTTGGAAAAACGAATTTAGTTGTTGGACAAACGAAAACAATTAATAAACAATCAAAAGAATCATTTTTTTGAAAAAAATATGGTTTTTTCTTTTACTTCACAACTTTTAACATTTCAATCGAGTTTTTCTCGTTTAAATTGGTGGACAAACCGATTTGAGGGTTGGACAAACGAAAACAATTAATAAATAATGAAGAGATTCCATTATTCAAAAATCAGTTATTAATAATAAACTACTCAATTGGTGTTTTAAAAAAAAATTTATTTTACTTTATAATACTCCTCAAGATAATTTAAAGCAACAACATATTTTCCTGTGTATATTTTTGTTTGCTTCTTTAAGTTGTAAGTGTAATAATACATATTTAGGTATTTATAAAATAGATATATAAGTAGATAACACAGGCCTACAAATTTCAGACCCACAAACGGGATAAGTCATTTCCGATGTAATTTGTCATCCTGAATCCAAAACTGGCAGCGAAATTGCTCTATCACGTCAGAATTCTGAGATATTCTAACCTAAAAGAGTAAAAAAGG